TATATATATATATATATATATATATGTAAGTTTATTACTTAAATGTTAAATTTAAGTGCATTTGATTGAGGCTATAAAAGTTTCATTTTTGGATCTAGAAAAGGTTAGCGACAGGAAGAAATGTTAGGGTTTTTTTCCAAAAGTACTTTTGTTTAAATTAATAATATTTAATATTAATTGCAATGATTAAATTTCAAGTTTAAGAATTGCAAACTTAATTAAAATAATCTAATAAAACAATAATTAATAATTAAATTAAAACATATTTAAGTAATCTGATAAAAATGTAGTAATATGAACATTTTATATTTATAGATGTTAATTTGAAAGAAGTGATAAAATTTAAGCACAAGCAAATCGTTTGTGATCAAAGTGAGTACTTGTACTATTAAATTATAGTAGTAATTTGGTTTCTTCTAAATCTGATACACTTTGTTAATTGTTTAGATAGATTTTACCACCTCTTTTAAGTTTATTTGATTATATTGAATTGTAAATTAGTAATTTTTTGATATGTTTAGTCAATTGTATAATATAGATTTTTATACTATGTATTGAATGTTATGAAAGTAAAAGAAAAATGAGATTTACTATTTGGATTGCTTGCATACGCATGTATGCTTGTGATGTAGTCGCCTATTTATGATGCTCGTAGGGAATGCTAAGGTATTCGTGCATGTAAATAAAAAAGAATTTTGATATTGAATTACTTTAATTGATATAATTTTTAAATGATTTTCATGTGACGGTTGTCTAGATATAAATAATATAGACATGTTATTGATATAGTAAAACACTTTTAAATATTATGAAATATCGTGAGCGATCATATTCATAAGTTATTAAATATTTTATTCTTGATTTTTTAAGGATTTAGCTGGTATGTATTTTGTATTCTTTTTCATTGTGTTATTATAATTTAGGAGTATGAGTATTCGTTGACTATAATTAGCTCATTATTATTTTAAACTAATTTTGTAGGTTTAATTAATTGATTTAAAAAAATGAGCAATAGAAGTGGAAGTGTTGATAGAAGCAATTAACAAACAGTAATGAGGTAAAATTAATTGTACTGCTTTAATTTATTTTTATATTGATTCTTTCATTAATTAATTGTTAGTTATAAAAAAAATAATATAGTGAATTTTATTTAACACTTTTCGACTGTCTATACTCATCTTAGTTAATTTCAAGTCCTGGGTCGATTCGTGACAGTTTTAGGGTTGTGGAAGAGAAGTGGTAGCGCTTAAAGGTAGTTGCGATAGCAGGGCATCAAGGGATGACAGTCCAAACAATAGTATTTTGTTGTTTTGGGCTGTTGTACAGCAGGAAAAAAGCAAAGGGAAGGCATTACGTACTGCGACAGCAATGGTGGAGGGCTAGGACAGCGGGGGCAGTGCGGATGGAGGGTTATAATGGTGATGACAGTTGATATAGGGCGGATAGAACTACAGAAAACAACAATCAGAATGTTGTTGCGGGTAGCTACAACAAGATACTGAGACTGAGTGCGATGTGGGAGCATGCGGACTGGGATAGGGGAAGATGATTACCACCTTAAGAGAGAGATACAGTCGGAGCACCACCCATTCCCTCTGATATAGCCTTTGAAGGGAGAAACGAACACTGGTTTCTATCCTAAACAAACTCATGCCAAACTTAAAGCTATAACACACAAATACAAATGTATAATAACAGGACAACTAGGAGTAGCTTAAGAGGGCTGGTCGACTTCTCCAAAGGAAGAAAACCTCGAATAGTTTGATTCAGGCAAAAGAATGGAGTCGTGCAGAAAAGATCACGTGCAGCACTCTTTGAGCCACTCTTGCGGGGTTGGGGGAGCTTCGACCTCATCTGTTGAAGCTCTGTCTCCTCATAATAGTCAGGTTTGCCTCCCTAAAGGCATCAGGAATGACAATCTTCTAACAAATTGATTATGTAGACGCTGACATTAGCACATTTTGATAGAATAAATATGCATCATTTTTGGGCACATCCTGAGCTGAAGTTGCATATAGATATAAGTTCTTGCAATTTAACTCTCGAACCCTTAAATCTGAAACCTTCTTCTTCCACTTCTCATACTTAGCATAACGTAGCTGATAAACAAGTATGTGAGGAGAAATCAGCTCAGGGATGAAATCTGGGGAATGTTGTGCCAAGCAACCACTCTGGAGAGACATTCTTCATTGATAGGATCTGGATCACATTGAAATTTTTTCCCCATTAGGCTTATAGGACAATTTTTAAAGCTGTGGTTCATCTCTCATGTCTGTACATCTCATGGTGGGTACACTACTGAGCTAAATCTACTATTCGAACAACAACATATAGTCTACTCAAAAATTTCTCAACTTTGACAAGTTAGACCTACCTTGATATGGACAATTCAATAATGAGTCTATAGATATGAAAAGTTTGAATTTCTCATATCTAGGGTTGTCTGGTATTTGGTGTCGATTCCTCGGACTTAAGATTGTATTGGACTACTAATGTGAATTCTATTGAAGTCTCCCTTATGATCTCAGCTTGATGTACACATTCTCCTCTTTCATCAGTTGGAATATGATCCTTTCTCTGTGTCCTCATCTGCCCCAGTGCCTATTATGTTATTGTCCATTTCTTCAACAACTCCCTGCTCGGTGAAGTATAACATTCCACGGTTGTGCAATTTGCTTCAATGTGTCTAAATTAGTGGCACTTGAAACATTTCTTGGTTGGGACTAATTTGGGAATGCAGATTGGTGCCCTTTATCCTAGGGTTGAACCATGCCTGTGAGATATGGTGGTTGCCTAGTGACATGGTCTTTCCACTTTTGAAGCTGGGGTGATATCGGAATAATCCGAGAATAAGAAAATGTGATTATTATTATTATTAAAATTTAGAAAGGAATACAATAAGAGTTCATAAGAGTGGAAATATAATGACACAACTACAACGAGACTTTATGGCGATGGCGCAGAGGATGAGCTCCGGCTGGATAGCAGGTGTAAGGGATTAGGGCGGCGTTGGTAGACAGCATGTG